GAACATGGCTCATACTTTCTCTAGAGTGGACAATAAGCAGCATCTAAATTTTAGGAATTCCTTCTGACTGGAATTCTGATTACTTCTATACTTTTCACCATGGTTGGTCACCCAAAATCACATTTAATGCTTTCCTTCTGTATTAGTTTCCGAAAGTACCATAGTGCTGGCCTGGCGGTGCACACCTGTAATTCCAGCACTTGGGAGGCTGAAGCAAGAGGTTTGCTATGAGTTTGAGGCCAGCTTGTACTATATAGTGAGTTCAAGGATAGTCTAAAATACATAGCAAGATCCTGTCTCAAAAAACAAAAACCAAACAAACAAAAAACGCAGACACACACAGCAAAGTACTATAAATTGGGTGGCTTAAAACAACAAAATGTTCTTGGTTCACAGTACTGAAATATAGAAATCCAAAGTCAAGGTGTCATCAGGACTCTTTTTTTCTCTATAGAGTACAGGGAAATCTTTCCTTGTATTATTCTAGCTTCCACAAGTGTCCTAGCTTCTAGCAATATTTGATATTCTTTGGGTGGAGATGCATCAGTCCATACTCCATCTCCACATGTTTTCCCTGTCTTCAGGTGGCCAGTTTCTTATAAGGACATCTATTGCATCAGATTACAGAGTCCATCTTACTTCAGTGTGGCCACATCCTTTGTAATTGCATTTGCAACAATTATATTTCCAAATAAGATAATATTCTCAGTTACTGAAGAGTAAGACTGGCATACCTTTTCGGGGGGGGATTCAACTCATAACCAATTTCCTTTACTAAAAAAAAATCATTTCAGCCATAAATCTAATTAATCAGTCACTAAACCTCAGAAGCTTTCAAGCCCAATGTCTGCTTCCTCACCGGCCAGTCTCTTCTCCTCTCACTAACACACTCCCGTATCATTGTGTCTGCACTTAACCCTTACCAACCCTACTAAACTAGTCTCTGAAATTATCTGGTGTCCTTGACTCTGGTTTCAACCTTATCTCAAAATCATTCATTCTGCCACCCAGATGATCGTACTAAAAAGCAATCTGATCGAGTTGCCAAGTCACACCCCCACTACTACCACCACACATCCCCCACTGTTCGACAGTGGAAACACCTAAAACTCTACAGTAATGGTCTATAGAAGCAATTGCTGTAAAGCACCTAGCTCACCTTCTTGTTACTCTCATATGCACTCTGCCTCCAGTAAAACCAAACTGCCTCCCATTTCCCCACCTCTCTGCTTTTACATACACGATCCTTTTATCAAAATGACATTTTCTTCCTTAAGCACCTGACATATTTAATTTTTTGAACTCTCTTTGACCTACAAATAACTTATTACACACAATATATCCTAGCATATATGGTTTTTTTCTTTACTACACCTGAGGTCATCAAAGTTAAACATCACATATTTTGTATTTCTAACATCTAATATGTTACCTGGTCCATAGTAAATATTCATTGAACTAGACTTGCTTGTAGCTTTCTAAAAGTTAGACATATCTAAAAACTTTTGCTTGAAGGAACAGATTCAGAAATGTGCTATGAGAGTAGGCTAAAAGGAACTAAAAATCTAATTCAGGGAAAAGCATCACTGTTGGCTAAAGAATTATCAAAACAGCTTTAAATTAAAAAATAATTATTTATTGCATACCTTTTAGAACAGCTAAATTAAAAGGAAAGACCAGCAACACCAAGTATAAGAGGAGAAATTAGAACTATTACACATAGCTGATAGGAATGTCAAATAGCATAGCCACTCTGGAAAACAGTTTGGCAGCTCTGAAGTTAAACATACACATACAAAATGGCACAGCTATTTTACTCCTATTTAATATACAGGAGAAATTATGCTCCTACAAAACCTGTACAGTAAGGATCATAGTAACTTCATAATCCCTGAAAACTGGAAACCCAAATGTCCCTCGACAAATGGATGGTAAACAAACTGGCCCATCCATGCAATGTAACATACCAGCAAAAGAAAAAAAAAAAAAAGCACAACTACAGGATAAATCTAAAAGTGAAAGAAACCTGTTTCAAAAGGTCATATACCATATGATTCCATCCACTGAACATACTGGGGTAAAACAGAACTATAGTAGCAAAATAAAATTGACAGACAAATTTTTCCTGGCACCATTTTCTTTCTGCTGCTGCCAGTGATGATGTTGGAAGCCAAATCTTCATCTTTCTGAGGAGAGCATCTGGGCTTCATTGTCTCTGCCAGAGCTAAGAATCAAAACCAAGACCCAGCCACACTCAGGAGTTTTCCACTGGCCAGAGAGCAATGCAATAGAACCGTAGCTGCAATCAGCTCCAATCCTATCAATCCTTCATGACGTTTCCCTTGGCCAAATGGGCGCTGCTTAATCGTCTCAAGAGGCAAAGCAACATATTGCAGCAAGACAAACCCACGTGAAACACTCACCAAATTTTCACGACAAATAGGGCAACGCTGGGTGTTTTTAACTACTCAGATGGAAATAGTATGGAACCCATCTCCTATAGGACAAGTCAATCCAAAAGAGTTGAAAAATAATTATCACTATGACTACAATACAGAATTATTTCATGCCCAACTTGTTATGTACACACTCTATTGCTCATTTAAAAATGGCACAACTGAAGAAATAAAATATATTTTAAATCATAAAAAAAATAACCGGTCTGTGAATGGTGGGTTAAAGTCAGGGACAAACATCAAAGTATTACTTTGTGGTGATGGAATGCTTCCATACCCTGGTGATGGATATGATTACAGAGGTATGCTAAAATTCATAAAACTGTACATCAAAAAGTTAATTTTACTGTATAAAATTTAAAGTAAATGTGTTACAGTGGTACCTAAGTACTTGCCTTTCATTGATTCTGGGAGGCATGCTGAGTACCAAAAACGAGTATAAGTTGTTGGGCTGGAAAGGGTAGCAAGTCATGAGTCAGTTCACACTGACAACTTGTAGCTTGTGTGTCAAGTACCAAACAAATGACAAGCACTGGGACAAAATTTTTGTGCCACAATGCATAGAGTATAGTGCAGTACAAGGTACGACTGGACATTCTTGGCATGAAGATAAGCTTCTTTTCTTCTCCATCTTCATATGCTTTACTTCCAGACATGAACAGACTACCTTTCATGTAGAATTTCATACTGTGAAGAAAAGGTAGAAGTGAAAATGCCTTGAAGTAGAAAGTTTAAAAGTTTTCTAAGGGCTTAGTGGTTTAGCTCAGTGGTTCCGCTGCCTGCCTTGCAAGTATAACGGACCTGAGTTCGATCCCCGGTACCCAAAAAAAAAAAAAAGTTTTCTAAGACATTACAGAATTCATGTTGAGAGGCTGAATTATTAATGATCTATAATTTTAGAGAAAGGCAAAGAAAAAATGAAAAGTAAATAGATTTTAAAATTAAAGAATGGATTTTTTCCCTTAGTATTCACCTCTCTTCATGACATAATAATTACATCTTCATTAGATTTGCTTTTTTGTATGTTTCTGCTACACTTAAAAGTTTAAGAAAATGTAATTCAATTTTAACAAGATATAAACCTATTTTTATTTCAGGATCTCAAATATAAAATACAAATATAAAATTAACTGGCTGGCTTCAATTTTTACATCAAATGCTTTAACTGATGAAAAACCCTTCAAAGTCTAATGAAATCTAACACTGGGGTTATATCCAAATGGCAGTTAATGTAGTATTTGGGGAAATTTAGTGTATTTGACATTTGACACCTGTCTCTCTTTGCCGGCTTTTTTTCCTACTGCCGATTCCACTTCTGCCTTACGCTGTTTTCTCCTTTCTCTTTCCCAATAGGTCATGGCCCATACTTCATCAGTGCCTTCTAGAAATTTGCCACGAGCCCAATTATCTACCAGCTTTTAGAAACCACACGAAGTATAATTCATTGCAAAGGCTGTGTGTTAAAATGTGCCTAATGGCGATATTCTCCATGGTATTCTCTTTCTAAAACATAACAATAAGGGATACAAGTACTCTAACAAGACATTTAACACATATTGAATGTAAAATACATTTACTTTTTCAAAAAGCATGTATGTTATATCCATTATAATTTTTAAATATATCTGGCTACTAAAAGTACAATACTCATGAATTTAAATCAATAAATATGAACATTAAGTGTTGTAAAATATAATATGCATATATTAACTTTAATCAGTCGGGCCACATAACTGAATACTACCGTTCACATAGACATGCACAGTGTATTTATGTCATAGTTGAGAAGCTCGGAGCTTGGGAAATTTCAATCTTTTATAATGAACTTTAAGGTAAAATAAAACCTGCTCAACCTTTTGCCCAGGGTGCAACATTACATTTATTGTTCTAACAGTAAGCAAAACCACTCTCTTCTCCAGAGAGAGACATTATCTCTGTCTCCCAAGGCTGCTCACAGTACAGATATCCTTGAAAATCTAGTCTATAGCATATGACCATGACTCTGCTTCTGAGACAGGTAGAAACATCAGAGACACTTAAGGAATTGTCTTCCAGTTATCATCTTTGTTTTACAAGCCAGACCTCATAGAGAGAAAAGTCTGGTGCCATTGGTATTTGAAAAGATCTAAAAATTTGTCTTTTCATAAATTTTATGTCTTAGGTAAGTTTCTTTATAACATTAACAATTTATTATTTTTTCTCAATGAATTTATTGGTATTTTTTTGTTGTATAGTACAGTTACATTCATCATTGGGATCTTGTACCTTTCCATGACAGGCCTTGGTTCTCATTTTAACAATTTAACATATAACATTTTCAATTTGATGTAATGCTGAGTTAAAATAGATCTTTTCTATTTGTTTTATAACACACATCATTTATACCATTGAATAGGAGGTAATGACTAGAGTCGTATATTCACTAAAAAGTGATGGAAGACATCATATGAAAATATATTTTCTAATGGAATGTTCCATCCAATAAAAACTTAGAAGAAGTTGTTTATTAACTTCTAAGTGAAGAACTTATGTTAATGATGCATATTAACTTTCTAAGTTCAGATATTTCTGTAGACGAACAGGAATTTGAGATGAAAATATTCCATCAGGGAGCATATTGTTGGTTAATAGTTGAGTCCTAATGGTTATTCTGCAAAGATGTGATAGTTCACATGGATCTTTGTATCTCGTCTGAGGAATGTATTCCAACCAATTTGAAATAATCGGATGGCTTCTCAAGCTCAACTGCACCTGAACAAAAGGAAAATGTTTCAGTTTTTCATGTTAGTCAATTATTGAATTAGTTCAAATTATTACACTTTTATTTTTTATTTAAATTCAGAAAATTGATCTTGATATAAACATTTAATATTTTTCCAAAAACATTTCACTGGAAGCAGGTAAATACTTTGGTTCACGAATGCTTTGATTTGCAAACAATTCAGTTCATAAACAAAAACATTCAGCACAATTTTGCTTCCTTTTGCAAACTGCTCTGGGTGACAGACGGGACCACAGCCGTTTTCTCCACACAGACAAACAGCCATCTTCCCCCAAATAACAAAACAAACTAAGTTCATAAGTCATAACACCACTGTATTTTATTCCTGTTTTATTCTTACAATAATGAAGTTTAAATAATACGTGTAAGGACAGAAAGCAAAATAGTTTTATAAGTGTGAAAATATACCCCATATTGAGTTAGTTTTAAAACTTAGATAGATCATACACATACTTCATCAGCTGCTCTTTCTACAGTTGTTGTCGATGTGGCATATAATGGAAATATCTGAGACTGTAAAAATTGCCAACACTCATGCCCTAGCCGAGAAATTCTGATTCTCTTGTTCACAGGCTGGGCACAGCATAAAGGCTGAAAATTCCCCAGATTGTAGCGTGAAAGTCAACAAACAAGAAGACTTGACTTAAGGTCTGTCCAAATGAAAAAATGTCTTTTAAAATTTCAGGAAGCTATCTCTAAGGATTGAACTCGAGAAGCCAAATGTCCACAGATGGAGTTGGAAAGGATATTGCTGTATTATAGAGATGTTTCCCCAGTTGAACCTGTGTTCTCCAGGCTCCATGACACTTATCTAGTCATATTACATATGTGTATATGCATTATTTATCCAGTCATCAATTACTTAAAGAGTACCTGATATATTATCTATGTTATGGTAGATGCTCAGGATACTTGGTAGGGTATGCAAAATAGACAGTTTCTTTTAAATTTTTATTTATATAAGTACAGAGTCCATAATGATTACATTCATCATGAGAATCGGTTCATGTACATAACACATCTTAATTGTTCTTTTCATCCACTTCTTCTCTCTGTCCACCATTTCTTGGTGCTCTTCTCCTTGGCAAAAAGTCTATTATATTATGTCTTTTATTTTGCCCTTTTATTTATTTATATTTCAGGTTTTTCATATAGGAGAAATCATGCAAGATTTAAGCATGTTTGATTTATTTCACTTGACATTATGATATTCATAAGACCTATGGTGTAGGGATAGAGATACCCAAATATATATTTACAGTAAAATCTATGTGCTATGATAGAGAAAAATACTGGGTATGAAACTGTAAAGTAGAGAAGGGCCTTTAAAATGTTTTTCAGGCAGCTCTAATGTGATCATCTACCTTCTTGTACAGTGCAGCTTCACTTTAGTTTATTAAACTGCAGTTGTCTGGGCCCAGCTAAAAATTCTTTGCCACTCAGGTAGGAAACTTTGGTCAACTCATTCTATGTTAGTACTTTCTGCTGTTGTACCCTGAAGAACAGCATTTAGTGGAACTGGTTGAAAATCAGTATTTCTGTAAAAACTGCAGGACCTACACAGGACAATGCCAAGGAGTGTTACTGGAGATACAAATAATTTAGTTTCTGTTTTAAAAGATGGGTTGCCAAAATAATTTGACCCATTTGCTCTTCTCACAATTGACCCAAGTGCAGAGGACCTTCAAGTTATGACTGGCTGGATGTACAAACAATTTGGGTTAATTAGGTTAATGGAAGAGTCATCTGTCTCTGTTACCTATAACGTGCACTCAGGTAAACCTCCAGACCTTACCACCAACTGGAGTTACAACCCACCCTGAAGAACTGATCGAGTTTGTAAGTCGAGGGTTCACTGTATTGGTATCCATTAAGGCATTTTTAAAAAGCTCTACGGAGTTATATCTGTCACAAATTTATTTTTCAAGTCACACCTTAAGAGATCGGGAGAGCTGCTGCTGTTTAGTAATTCAGCCAGTCTGAGCTTGAGTAACCTCCTCTCCATTAAGAGCTGCTTCTTGATAGCTACTTCTTGTTACTAGAAGCCATCAAACAATATGGTGCTGAAACTTGCAGTTCATTTTGAGAGGTGAACATTGCTGTACATGGTTGATTTTTTTCCTCTATATTTGGTTTATTTCAAAAATTTTCTTAAAGAAAAGGTTGGCACATTTCTGAGAGATATTATTAATTGAACAAATAGTTTAAGCCTTTACAGTTTTTTATAATGCTTAAAATTATTTTGGGGTTTCAAATGGAAAAAATCTATTTATTAATATGTGATTATATTTATGGGGAGAAATGTAGCCCTCTTATAATAATATTTTATTGGAAAACAGGTTTGTCAATTTTTTAATTTATTTTTTCCAGGAATAGAAATCTCAACAAATATCTTATTATTGGAAAACAGTAAAATACCTCTACTTAACAACACTAAAATAAATTTAACTTTTAAAATTCTTTTATATTTAGAAAATTAAAATTCTGAAGTTAAGGACTTTTTAGATAATTTGAATTGTCTTTTATTTCACATTTATAAATACACACTCAGTGATTGATTTGTCAGTGGGTGCATTCTGTACATTAAAAATTAACCTTAAATCCCAGCACTAGGGAGGCTGAGGCAGGAGGATCGCTGTGAGTTCAAGACCAGCTTGGGCGACATAGTGAGTTCAGGTCGGTCTCAACTACATAGTGAGACCCTGCTCAAAAAAACAAAAAACAAAAACAAAAACAAAAACAAAAATTAACTTTATTTTTGCCACCTTAGTTTTATCTTAAAATTCATCAACTGTTGAGTGCAAGTCCAGAGAGTGATATTTCGCTCACCTTTATTTCCTCGACAGGAATGGCAGAGAGCACTCTGGAACACAGCACTAAGCATGTTTTGGCATCCTCCTCGATGTCAATCAGTTCATGATCAACCATTATTCTCACTCCTGAAGGGTAAAGTAATATTGTCAAGATAATGTTGAGTGGGTCTTTTTCTCGCTCCAAGATTCCGTACTGCAGGAGGATTTTTAAGATACCAGACTGCCTCGTCTGAGCTACATAAAGCAGAGGTGTGATGCCGCTGAGTGGGTTCGGGCAGTAAACTGGTGTGAAAGTTCTGCAAATCAAACAAAACAGAAGACTCACCGAATATAGAATTAAGGAATGCATTAGTAATTTAAAAATAGTAACATCTTAAATATTAATATGTGTCTAAACCAAACTGAAGGTTAAAACTCCCACTAAACTCTCCTATTTAAACTCTCCTTTACATTTAGAAAAATAAGCAACAAAAGATTTACAGTATGTGGAAAATTATTGCTTTTAGTCATAGCAGATCTATATTTCTCATTGGAGAAATCCATACTGATTAAGAGAATGATGTAAAACTTATGAAGCTCTTGAAAATCTAAAACGGAAAGAAACACCTTTTGTATTTTATTTCATTAATAGAATTATATGTGTGTGTTGATATCTTTGTTTTTGTTCTTGATCATATATCAGACATGAGCCTGAATTTAAATTAGACATTACATGAAAAAGAAGTACAAAGACCTTAATTCTCTGAATAAAATTAGAATTGGTATTCATGAGTTTAAGAAATGCAAATTATGGTTAGAGCTAAAGCAGGTATTTCGAGGGCAGAATTTTATTTTCCTTCTTCAAGAGTAAGTTTTGAGTCTCCTCTAGAATATTCCTTTTCTTAGAATGCTACAAGATAGATAGACTTGAAAATTTCTTCCCCCTTAAGATAGAAATGAAAACTTTATCTGTTCTAATGTTACATCGTGTTAACAGTCACTTTATCTAATGCTTTTATACTACTATTGAGCTGGTCGGTTATAAAATAAATGTGGTAGTGGTTTTTCAGGCCACAGAGACGTCTGTATTAACAAGCTTTAACTTTGCCAAGTAATATGGTTTTTAACACTAAGGAAGGGAAAATTTGATTAATGATCCTTGTCTCTGCAATTCTCTTGACTGGCTTCACAAAATACTAATTTATTCTGCCAAGTACCATATAAGTATAAATATTGGTTTTAGACTACTCTGTTGAGAAAAGAAAGGGGAACTTTAGGACTGCCTACTTTAAGGTACACTGTATTTACTTAAGATGGGAGGCAGCATGGTACAATGGCATATGAACAGGATGAACAGGTCGGCATTCTACACTCTATGTTTTGGCTCCCCTAACTAGCTCTGTGATCAGTCTCTTTGAGTATCGGTTTCCTCATGCATTTATGTACCACTTTGCTTATTCTTTTATTAACCATTTATTTATTTAACATTTGTTTGTTCAGAGTGTGCTAAGAATAGCTATGTAGAAATAAAAGATGCCGTGCTTGATTATTATAGTTTAGGAAAGACAATAGACAATTTATTATGGTTTGCATTGGTACTCAGCTGAGGAAGCTATCGAGAAGAGTTGGGACCTCGTTGGAGGGACTAGGTCATTAGCAGGTGCATGACCTTGAAGGAAATATTACCACCTTGGTCCTTCCTTCTTCATTTCTGCTTCCCAGATGCCATGAGGTGAGCTGTTTTACTCTACCATGTGCTCCCAGACAGAATGTTTTGCCACACCACAGGCCCAAAAGCAAGGGAGTCAGTTGATCGTGGACTGAAATCTCTGAAATGGTTAGCCAAAATAAACCTTCCTCCTTTTAAGTTATCTCAGGTATTTTTGTCACAGGCAAAGCTAACACATAATTCAACATAGTAAATATGACGTAAGGTGATAATTGTTAATGACTGAAACATGCTTGAGGTATCATGGAAGCACTGAGGAGAGAGGTACTTAACTCCATCTGGGATAGTCATTTTCTGTAAGTAATCCAGGAACAAAGACTTGCAGGATTAGTAGGTGTTCTCCAGCAAAAAGTTTGAAAGGAATGTTGTAGGCATTAGTATAAACCCGCCTTGGAGGACTATTATAGGTGGGCCAGCTACAAAAAATGTTTTGCATTACACGAGTTATTTTTAAACTTTTTATCTGAAGAATCCTGCAAAACTAAGAGAAAGGTGCATCTGTAGTTGAAGGGGATAAGGGTCCTGTTGCCCTACCCCTTCCTAGGTCCCTGGTTCAGTGTTCTGAAAAGTCTAGTTGGAAAATCACTAGACCAACTAGTTTACTTCTAAAGTTTCATTGAACTCTGAAATGCCAGAATTTTGTAATAAAAAATATTATAGTGAAATGCAAAGTACCATTTTAGAAATCGACTCTTAGATCTGCCAGTGATACTATATGTACGCATGTAGCTGAGCATTTATCTACCGTATCATTTTTCTCTCCTGAAATCATCTGCAGACTAATATGGTCCTGGGCATCTCACTCTTTTCACAAATACTTCCAATAAATATCCAAAATTGGCCTCTTAAACTACTCCTCCTTCTGAATTACTATAATTGGTGCTCAGTTTCCCAAGTCCTCAAGCTCTTTAAATGTTTTGATTTGCTTTGTATATGTTCTCTTTTTTCAATTCTGAGACAAGTGCAGCTCATTTTAGAAGTCCTTATCCAGTAAACTCTTGTGAAATCCTCTTTGATTACCATGAACTTTTTAAAATCCTTGTGGCACTCGATACATTCCTCCCTGTGGTGGGTTAATTAATTTAAGTGGGAACGCCCAGCTGAACTGGGTCAGCGTGGTTCTCGGCATGGAAGATCCACCTGAGCGTTGTTGCCAAAATGACATAAAAGGAGAACTGGAGGGGAAGAGTGCATGCTGATGACTTTCCTGAAGAAGATGCTTTTCCGAGGTTTTTCTTCAGAGAAGCTTTGGCTGCTCCTGCCTTCCTTTGGGAGAACCTCAGCCCTAGTCTTCATCTTGGGCGTGGACTCCTTGCTCCTAGTGCAGATCTCTCAGCCTTTGGTCACAGACCCTTCACTCAGCCCGCACAGACTTTCTAGCGCCCCCCACTGGCTCTTGGGCCTTTTGGGTGCAGATCCTCCCTACAGACTTCCATGGGGCGGTGCAAAAGGCTCCCAGCCCGCAAACCCTCCGGGTATGCAGCGTGCAGACAGACGCTCCCACTCTCCTCCATTTGTCTCTCGTAGCAGTGACTAATACACTCCCCTAAGCTCTTATCCTTTTGAAAAACTTAATACCTGTTTTATTTTGTTTGTTGTTTTTTATTAAGGGTTGAATCCAAGGCCTCACCCTGCTCAGCAGGCTGTACAGATGCTCTGAATTACACCCCGGTCTTTAATATTTTTAAACTTTTATTTTCTCATCTTAAAAATAAATGGTTGAATAAGATGATCCGTAAAAGTTTAAGCTCCAAAAGCACAGTAATTTTCCTTTATTACTATATTTCTGGGTTCCTAGAGCAACACTGAGCCTATAGTTGGTACTCAAATACTTGTTAATTAGAATTTGCTTTCAATTCTAACAAGATTTTTGGTGATATGCAACCATTTAGTCTTTTCAAAGTCAGTGTAATTTATTCCATCTTGCCAGTGCTCAAGGTATTTGACCCAGCCTTGTAAGTATGCAGATTCCAGAAATTTAGGGGACAAGATATACCATAAGTAGTCTTTGTTAAGATTTAGCGATACTAATGATTCAAAGATATTAAATCGGCGTTATCTTTAAAAGATATTGAATGAATACTGAGAAATGTTAAAAACATGACCAAAACTCATGTAGGTTTAAAAATGAGATTTAAAAGTCTAATCTGTATCAACATGACATATGATTAATACTCGTATTTAAAGAATATAGTCTAAACTAAAATTTGCTTAATCTGTACTGACAGTTAATTATAACAGTACTTATGTGGATGGAATGAGGCAAGCAAAGAATCAGTTTTTAAATGTGAGGTTAATGAGCTGAACCCTCTATCTGAAAACCTGTCATATGCATTTATGAAATGGGGCATATTTCCATACAGACATGTAGAGGGATGATTCACTTTTGTAGCTGTAGTTATTTTGAATATATTCTATGCATTCTGCTTTGGTTTCTAGCTAATAAATTTAATGGCTATTTCTCTGTACTTTTTCCTCTGTAATACTTAATACAACTGTCTTGCTTGAAGCTATGTTTTCCTTTTACTCAGACAAGTCTCTCACGTTACCCATGATCTGTTTGGCTGCTCCTTCTCAGTCCTCCTGCACAGCCTCTTCCTCTGCTCTTAACTCTTAACTCCTACGTATGTGTGACCTTTTGATCAATTTTCATTTGACTGATTATTCGCAGGCAGGTTCACTGATAATCACAACTCCAAATACTCTCTACTCATTTATTTCAAGAGCTATTGAATACATGATACATGCCAGGCACTGTTTTAGGTATTTGGAATGGATCAGTGAATAAAATAAGGTCTTTGTTGTCTTGCCTGTGTTATAGTGTGAGGTGACTATAAATAATATATAATAATTATATTTGTGTCAGAGGCCAGAGAAGACTTGAGGCCCAACTGGCTGCCTCAGTGAGCACAAAGGTGAAAGGCTGCACTCAGGGCTGACTCCATATTAGGGAAAAGTTAAGACAGCTCAGGTTAACTTGTTTACCAGAGAATGTACTAAAGGATATTGGAAAGCAGATGAATCCTGTGTTATTTTGATTGCTGTGCCTGTGTTTGGGTGAATAAAGGTGAGCCAGACCCTGGGGGCTCCTCTGCCTACTAGAGGCCAGCGCCCTCTGACTGGCCGCATGGATAACTGATTCCATGTCTCTGTCATTCATCCTCATTTGCCCCTGGGTCAGGGAGAACGAATTAGTGAGTCTTGGTGCCCCACCAGTGGCACCTGGCTGTGGAAAGCTCCGAAGAGGGAGCTGGCTCTCCACAGGTGACACCTGGGGCAGGAAGGACCCACAATTGGAGGCAAAGGTTGGCTGAATGGGTCAGCTACACACACACACACACACACACACACACACACACACACACACACACACATAAAGGCTGAACATAGCAAACAAGTAAGTTTTGTATATTAGAAGGTGATAAGTGCTGTGGAAAACAAAAAGAGCAGGGTAAGTTTGGGCATGCTGGGAGGGGCATGAGGGCATTTTTCATCAAGTAGGAGAAGGCACTACTGAAAGGTGACCTCTGGAGAAAGATGCAAGGAGACTCAAGGACTCAAGGAAGAGAATGTGTCTGGAGTGAAGAA